GCCCCCCCCGCCTGGCCGCGGCCGAGCGCCTTCGGTCCCAGCGGCGGGGCTGGAGGAGGACGGACGGCTGCGGTAGGCAGCAGGCTGAGCGCTGAGCGCCCGCCCTCGGCTCTCCGGTTCAGCCGGCGTTGCCTTTTCCGCTTTGCGGAGCGGAGAAGGTCTGGTGAGCGAGCGGGGAGCAGACCCCTCGCGAAGGACCCCTTTCCGAGGCTGAGCAAGCGCCTGGTGAGCGCTCTTAAGCCAAGCACCCGTTGGCAAAAGAAGGCCTTTTCTTGCTTCCCAGCTGCTGGGCGCCATGCTGATGTTTGAGGGTGCAAAGCAGGGTTGCATGTGAACGTAAAAGAAAAAAACACGATGTGCCAGACCTTCCCCTCCAGGTGTCTCGGGGTTTGTGCAGGGCTAGTGCTTAGGATCAGCTGGCCTAAGTGAGACCGTAGTCAGGACTGGTTTCTTGTATGACGTTCAGGAGTTGAACAGGAGCCTTGAGTCGTTAGGACACCATACCTTAGCTGTATGTGGTAATTGGCTGCAATTACTTCAGGTGCATAGCTTTTATTTTCAGCAACTTGGCTATAGCGATAATATTGATTCTGTTTCTAAAATGGTATATTTCTCTCTAGCCATCATAACGCATCATAGTAAAAAACGTAGTTGTCTCTGACAGATAAACGGCAGCTGTAGATTCATAGAGGCAATTTAATGTAACTTTTTGGATTTTTTTCTGAACGTTCTCAAATACTAGAACCAAGTAAGACTTTTTTTTAATCCAGCTTCTTTTCTCAGGTAAGAGATTTTTTTTCACGTTCTCTCTTTAGACATTTTTGAATAAACATGGAAGATATGTCCTTCACTCCTAAACAGAGAACTAATCTCGTGGTTTTATGAGGTGAAACAAGGAGGAGATTTCTAAGACTTTCCTCCTTTGTATGCTCTGAGCAAGTGCTAATGGTAATCCCATCCTTTTTCTTTTTATGTGCCTGGATTATGTCATGGTCCAAGAAAACAGCATTTCCTGAATTCTGTGTCTGACCCTCCGTGAGATAGAAAGCAAAAGAAACTGAATGTGACTGTTCTGTTTGGCTCCTTGTACAACATACCGCCAGCATCTTTACTCTTAGGGGCTTGTTGAGCTTCTGTTATTGAAGAGTGAGGATGGTAGTATAGCGTGTTATTGCCAGTAATTGTTGGCAAATACTTGATGTTTTGTAATGAGTTCAACATCTATGTTGAACTGTGGACTGATCTATGTGATCCAGTCCTTGTTCTGTGAGAAAAGGTTTGACTTGTGTTCGGAAATTATCAGTCAATTTGCTTCTCCATTTGCTTTTTCCACAGGATGTTGCTTTATTTCTTCAAGAGTTCAACGCCCCAGATATATTCATGGGAGTTTTTGCCAAGTCAAAATGTCCTCGCCTTACTGTAAGTACGGGCTGTCACAAAGCTATCCCATGTTAATAGCAACAGTAGATAGCGCTGTACATGCATTCATAAAATATCGCCCTCCTCTTCCCATTGCATTTTTGAATGAGTAAGGGAGGAAACAGAACACACAAAATCCAAATTTAATTTTTTTTTTTTTTGCACGGTGTATCTAACATGGTCTAATCAATAATTATTTCAGTAATGCTGAAGTTGATATATGTCACTATTGATAAAGGTTTAAGCATTCTAAACCATGTATTTTTAAAAATCTCTATACTCAGAAGATGAGTTTTGCTGGAATTATATTGAGAGCCCTTTCTTTTATGAGGAAGTGAATATCTGAGAGTCTTGCATTTATATGTTGATGTTTTTGTTCTTAGGACTCTATTTTAATAGTAGGGGTGTCAAATTAGCTTCAAAACAGTGTGTGTGTGTGTGTGTCATATAAAAAGAGAGAGAGAATGCGAGCAAAGTTAGTTTCAAGGTACAGTCTCTTCCATGGAACACCATAACTATAACAAAAATCTGAATAGTATCTCTCATGAGTATGTTTATGTTTAGGTCAATCTGACAACATTGCTTAGAAGATCCACATCTCTGTCTTGAAGTTGATGGATTGTATGAACTCGGAAATCAAACTGGAAAGCCTCTCTGAACCTTTCTTACTTTGTATGGTGGCTGTGGAAGTAAAATTGTGAACTATGTCGCAGCAGCTTAATAACACTGTGTTTTGACTTTTCAGGAAATCTGTGTGGGAATACTGGGAAATATGGCTTGTTTCCAAGACATATGCATGTCTATTAGCAAAGATGAGAATCTTGGGTAAGAGCGTACGTGCTTTATACCAGCATACGTGAACACTGCTTTTAGTAATGGATTTTGGACTGAACAGGTGAACTTATATTATTAGAATTTTTTTTAACTAATAATTTGACTTGATAAAATAAATAGGATGATGTCTTCTGTCCTGTTAAATGCGAGGAAGATAATTTAAATCAAATTTACTTACTTTCTGGACTCTCACCATCAAGCAAAATATATTATTATAAAAGGAACTAAGTTTGCTTTCCTTGCCTCATCTTCATTCAAGCCTTTTTGGCTACCCATAACTGATTGAGAAGTGTTCAGTGAAGATAAAAGAAAGGAAATAAACCATCTTTTTTTTTTTTTTTTTACCATCACCAGTCAAGCTCTTTGAATCATTAATTTCTAAGTCTGGCGATGTTGAAAGACTGGAAGTGCATGCGCAAGCTGGAAAAGCTGACTTTAATTTTATAGCTGTAGCCATAGTCTAAGATTAATCTTTTTACAGACTTTTTTCACAAAGATAGTTTTTATTAAAACTCTTATCTTGAATTTTCGGCTTACAGCCAAGTGTTACTGCAACGTTTGTGTGATTCAGACTCTCCAACTCTTCTGGAAATAAGCAGGTAGGACTTCTTGATAATTAATATATCACTAATTAATATAGTTCTGAAATGTTCTGAGGCCTATGAAGAAAACTGCAAATTGACAGATGGACTGATTATTATTATCCCATCCTACCCTTTTGTAATTTCCACATTGTTCTGGAATTGATTTGCTGTGGGCTATATTTCTATTTCTGGCACATCAGTCCAATTATTTTGGATTTATAGTGGTACAGTTAAAACCAATCTGTTGGTTTCTAATTTGTTAAATGGGCAATTCTTGTCTAGGTTGCTGTTAACTTGCCTCTCACAACCCGAGGTGGCCAATGTCTGGGTTGAGAGAATCCGAGAAAGCCCTTCTGTCTTTGACTGTGTTTGCTTTATCATGTCGAGCTCTACAAATGGTAAGTTCCTATAACAAGCTGTAAATTAGTAGGTGTTTGCAGAAAAAGTAATTGTTGAAGTATGCCGTTTCAAAGACAAGTATTTTCAATTGGGAGTGCAGAATTTCTTTACAGTGAAGTGGACCCAAACCTAGATGAGTAAGAAAGGTTTTTGGAAGATTAAAACAAAGTCTAATAGAGAAATTTTCTTTTGGCACAGTAAGGGGAAAGGGAATAGTCCTTATTAAGAGATAGACATATATCACTCTTGAGCCTTGAAATAAGACCTGCTTTAATTTTTTTTTCAGCTCAGAGATGTATTTTTCAATTTTAAAAACTGCCATGTTTGAGGAATGCTAAGTGATAGAATGGTTCAGTTCCTCTGGCAGCAGAATACTACATAGCTTTGGCATGCAGTCCAGTGGTACTTAAGTCTTTTCTTTTTCTTGATAGCGCTAATCTAGCAAAATCCTAATTAGGCAACAAATAACAGAAACATTTTGAACAGCATTTATTTTGCAAGTTCAGTTGAATTATAACAGCAATAATTGTTTGTCTAGAAATCCTGATAATTTAGCTTTTGGAATTTGAAGAATGTCAGCGCCACTGTTCTTTTTTTTAGATGATGTAATGCACAGAAATCACACTTAGTCCAATTGCAGTCACAGATCTATTTAAGTGATATGCTGATTGACAGGTGTAAGATTAGCAGAAAACTGTGGATTTAGGGACAAATGTGGGGGTTTTGATTTCAGGAGCAGAAGTTATGACTTTTCAGCCGCCTCAAGCTCATAGTCTCTTTGCAGAATGAAGTTCCTACTTTGTAAATTGCATGATAAAATAGAAGGTGTCAGTGAGCTTTCCAGCAGTCCCTGTTTATCAAGCTCTTCACCTCAATTCCTTTTTGTAGCAAAAATAAGCATAGTAACCCTTAGTAGATCATGAGTGAGACTAATATATTTCAGTACTGTGTTTTCTCTTATTACTTTTTTATGTTAGCATTTGGTGAACTCATTCTTGCTGCTCATTTTTTTTCTGTTCTTGAATCTGATATATTCTGTCTTGCGCAGTTGAATTGCTGGTCAAAGTGGGTGAAGTGGTGGACAAACTCTTTGATCTAGATGAAGAGCTAATGTTAAACTGGATTAAAAATGGCACTTGTCAGTCCGTGGGACCATCTATAGATGATTCCCCTGAAGAACTTCCAGATTTTAAGATCGTGCCTTGTATACTTGAAGCAGCCAAACAAGTCCGGTATGTGAGTTTTCCTTTCGGTTTCATGGCTGGGGAGACTCCTCATGACCTCGTTAAAGCTCATGTGTTGAAAATCTCTCTTCTGTGGGAGCTACATAGTTTGCCAGTTTGGTAGAATGCCTCGACTTACCGTTCGAAATTAGCGAACTAGCTTGTAAACAAAGAACACGGCAGTGATTGCTGATGGTCTCTTAAGCATCTGAAACAAATTGGAAGTATAAACTTCTCAGTAATCAGGTCTTTAATTTGGCTTTGGTTTTTGTTCTATTCTGTGTAGCTCAGATAATCCAGAAGGACTTGATGTTTATATGCATATCTTGCAGCTCCTAACCACGGTGGATGAGGGCATTCAGGCTATTGGTAAGACACTTGAGTTGCTACATATGGTGGGACCAAGAACGGCAGTAACTTTTAGATCCTCAGATATTTAATGGGAAAAAACAATTAAGGTGCCTAGATTAAAATTGTTGGGTTTGTGTGTGTGTGTGTGTGTGGTTTTTTTTCTTTACCTTCTCAAGTGCAGGCTCCTGATGGAGGAAAAGAAACTTGGAGTTTGCTTTATGACCTAGTTTGCCATGAACTCTGCCAACCAGATGATCCAGCAATCGTTGTTCAGGAGCAGAAAACTGTATTGGCCTCTATTTTGTCTGTACTTTCTGCTATGTTTGCCTCACAGACGGAACAAGAATACGTCAAGATGAGGAAAAGCAAGTGATGCGTTTTTCTTTTCTTCTTCTTCTTTTTTTAAAACTATTTTTACAATTGAGTTTATGTATGTGGGGTGAAAGATGGTTAATTTATTACTGTTTACTAGCTGTCAGTTTAGAACACAAAATTCAGATACGTGTTTGAACACTGTAGGGTTCTTTAATGGTGACCCTAAAAACCACAGCTAGTACAAAGCCCAGGCACTGGATACCTCTGAAGAGCTATGGTAATAGAATCTGCAGATTGTGTTCAGTCCCCTCTGCATTGGGTAAAGTTGGAGGCGTGAAAATTTGGTAATTCATCTTTGCTAAGAGATGATGTCTTGATAGTGGTTGTTGTAAAAGAAGGAGATATGGCACTAGCTTAAAAGCATCTTTATCGCTTGTTCTATGCATTGAACAGCCTTTCTAATTAAAAGGCTATCTTGGGCATGTGAGTCAGTGTTATTGCCCCACAGGACTGTGGAAAGAATTGTACTTGCTCTAAGCTACTACCGGAGACATTCTCCTCATATGTCTTACCACTGGCATATAATTTTTATAGATACAGGTTAGCTGGCAGTAAAGAGTGTTTTGGGTTTTTTTGTTATATTTCCACTTGCTTTTTTAAAACAGTTTTTGTCTGGTATAAACACAACAGTGTCAGAATGTACATTCCTATATCCTTTGTATAAAATCTTCATATATGTTTCAAAGTTCTAATCCATTGAGAAAGGGTGGGGAAAAAATTTTGGTGTTAAACGTAGTTTCTTGTTACTATATATTAGATATGCCTCTGATTGGGAGCTTGATTCGTATCTTACAATACATGGAAGGCTGTGGGAAGAGATCTGTGGATGACTCAAAGGAATCCAAACAGGATGAAACTGGAAAGGCAGAACTAAATGAGGAAGATTTCCATTTGAAAATTTTGAAGGATATCTGCTGTGAATTACTTTCCAATATGCTTCAAGAGCTGACCAAGGTAAAAATAAAATGTTAAGAGAGATTTTTGCAGAGTAGGTAAGGAAAGAAAATGTTACTATTAATGGGGCATTTTTCTGTGGCCTTTCCCCTTTCTTGTGCAAGTAAAATTCCAAACAGGAAATCACTCGAATGGAAGTCAGTTTACATAAGGAAAGGAAAGAATGTCAAACCCTCTATTATATTATCACCTCTTAGCTGGACTTCTTTATTATGGGAGCATTAAGACTAAGACACTGTTTTCACACCTTTTTGACCTTTTTGTATTAGTTATGTCTGGTATCGTCATAGAACTGTTAAAGTCTGTTCCATGTTCTGCCTTTTTATGAGAACAAAGTGCATACTGTACATGCTCTGTGTGCTACTGAGAGTTTGTTCCTCTGACAGCTGTTCATGACATGATAGTTGTATTTCTTGTCTTTTAATTTTCCAGGAAAATATATTAGAAGGGCTAAATCAGGGACATTTAAATGAGCAGACATGTTCCTGTGCGTTTCAGAACCTCTTGCCTTTGTATTTCACATCGGTGAGTATATGACAAAGTCTTTAATGTAGCTGAAAAAATACTACTTTGGTGGTATGTCCTTTCATAAGCAGGTATAGATGTATGACAAAATTGCTTATGAACAGGTAACATGTCATATTAGGCAATCTTATTTTCTCCCTCTTCTCGCTTACTTCAGCCAGAACTTTCCCTAGATCATTGGCTGATACAAGGGCCAAACTGTGCTGAAATGAATGAAGGTCTGCAAACTTATGCTGAAAATGTGTCCCTTACATTCTTGTAGAATGATTATAATAAGCGTATTTCATACGGAGCTTTTCTTTGTGTATTTTGAAACAGTAAAAGTTTTGGGAAGGTAATAAATCCCTGTATGTTTTGGAACTTAGGCCAGCTGAAATTGCAGGCTTTAGGAGGGAATGATTTACTATGGAACATTTTCCACTCTTCTGTACAACGGCCTTTCCTGGCTGCTGTTGATGGGAAGATACAGGAGTGTAGAAGCCCTTAGACTAAGTTCAGCGTAAGAATTCTGTATTCCATGGAAACGTGTTTCCTGTATTTGCAATTTATTTCCAGGTGGAGAGCTTCCTTGAAGTTTTGCGTGAAGCTGATCAGACGCTTGCTGACAATCTAGAAAAACGTTTCCCAAGCCTGAAGGTCCACACCTAAGAGTGTACATGAAATATTTTCCTTCTTTGGGATGAAGATTTTTTGACTGTTTCTTTACAGTGTTTTAGAAGTCAAATTTTCAGTAAGTGCAGAAGAATAAGGCAATGTCCTTACCAACAGATGGCTTGTAAGAGATGTTCCACGTAGCCCAGATTAATTTAGGGTTAATCTAGTCTGCATGGGGAAGGAAATGATTGTAAGTTTAGTTCTGCCTTTTCCATCGTGTTTGCTCTGGTGATGAGAGACTGTTGATTTCTAGTTGCTCTTCTGCAGAGTAGCATTCTTTGAATAACTCTTGATCTTGTGCTATTCAACTTATGTTGGAACAGTTAAATGAATGAAATGCACTGAGTATAGTTTTTTAACGTGATGCTGGCCTTTTCTAAGTTGCTGTTGGCAGAAGGAGGATTGATCCATGGGAAATCTCAGATGTCCTCTGGTTAACAGGTCATCGTCTTTTCCAAGCACCTGATAAAAACAGAGTTAAATTACACAGGGAAGAGGCTTGTTTTAAGTCCTATCTGTACTTGAGCGGATATTGTAACAGAATTGTATCATCCTGCTCCTTTAAGATCTTTTCACTTCTTCTTTTAAAGCCTCTTCTGCGCTGCAGCTCTGAGTCATCTAGGGCCTGTGCAGTTCAAATGGGTGTGAGAATATCCTTATGGATGGTCAATTCTTCAACTTCCAGCTATTACACCCAGTCACCCAGAGTTAAAGTTGTAGGGCAGGTTTAGATTTAATCCCTGGCATACTTGCAAACTTTCTGCTTTATCTAAGCAGTCTGTACTTCAGTTTAGGAATATAACGTGTATCTGACAGTTCTTTCCTCATTCGTGTGGTTTATGAATTATCTGTGAGTGACCTTAGAAGTGTCATTTTAGCCTGGGATTTTCAGGGGAGCTTAAGGTGTTGGCTCACTTCTGGTCAGTGAATTCAATGGACAGTCTTCTCAAATCCCACTGTTAACTACCTTAGATTTTAACTATATTTTAGCTACGTTACTTTTTTACATCACTTCCCTGCATGCAGTGCCGCTAACATTCTTTTTTTTGTGTCTAAAAAGATGCATTAACCACACGGCAGCTCCAGCTGTTTCTATAAATTAGAGTGGAAAACAGTTGATCTTTACTATGTTTGAGATATAAAGGAAAAAGGGAGCCAGAGCATCGGGAATAACTTAATAACATACACACACCTGCTATCTATGTTTTTATAGGCTTTAAATATTGTGCTGGGCCATGTTTTGTTTGCCCTGAGTTACATGTATATGTGGCAAGATACAGTATCCGTATATGTATATAGCCTTTTCATCCAAACTTCTAGTTTTCAGACTAACCTTCCCCTTGGGCTGCCAGTGACCTCTTAGTTGTTGTCAGGGAATTTAGGATTAGAAAAATCTGACTTGCCTCATTGAAAAGAATTGCAATGGTTTCTATCAATTTTTGTATGCTATGTTTATTGGAGAAAACTGGTAACTCTGAATAGGATGACCTCATTTTCATACTACTTTGACAGTTTTTGGATATTTTCTTAAACCTACAGATTTGTAATAAAGTTTCTTTAAAAAAATGTACGCTTTTCTTCATTTTAAGTGTCAATTAAATTCATGTTCTGAGTCACTGGAATTGTCAATTAGACTCTTCACTGTATCATTTGTAAGAGCAAAACTGAACCTCTTCCTAACCTAAATATCCTGTAAAATGTGTTGTCCTTTATTGGATGTTCCTTTTAACTGTCTCTTGCTTTCTTCTCTTAGTCATTTTTATGGCTTGGAAGTTTATGGCTCTGTCATCCAGTTGTTACATTTTTCTGAACTTACCTTGTCCCAGGGCATACCATGAATATCTTTATAGTAGTCCACCCAGGTTAAGAATTATTTCTAGTTTGCACCTCTTGAGATTTGGTGCTTTCCAGGGCTTGCTTAATGTAATGTACAAACAAGATCTTTTGTTTTATTTGCTTCCTCCTCTTTGCCAATACACAATTATGCAGTACTGGCTGATTAATTGTTAAATGTGGTCTTTTTAATTACAAGGAATGAGTGAGATGCAGCATTCCCCTGATATAATTACTGCCTTAAATTGGATGATATCTAACACCTGTCATGCGGCAGAGAAAATGACAGATATCAATCAACGGGACACCAGCTCGGTCCCATCTTCCCACTTTTCTGCACGAGAAGCAGCAGTAAAAATTGGTTCCGTCGGCTTTGTTTCAGCACGCTAATAATTCAAGTATGTCAGGAGTTTTTATCCTTGCTAAACATAGTGGAATGGAGACTGAATTCCCCTTTTGCCCCAGCAAACAGCTATTCTTGCGCAGGCTGTGCTGCATGAGTCGGACAGCACTGTCTTTAGCAGCAAGAGGCTGGGGCCACATTGAACATAGGGGAAGCGTGGAGCATTTTGAGCGTTCAAAAGTGGTAGAAACTTTCTTCATAGTAGCCAATGATTGATGTGTTCAGCAGTGGCGCCTGTATATTGCATAGTCTTGCCAGCAGGGATCTCCCTGAGCTTGTGCTTCATGTACATCATGAGTCCTTTTAAACTGTAAAGGGTGTTTTACTTTTTTGGTTCCCTTTTCTAGCCACACTGTCCCACTGCCTGCTAAACCAGATTTGTCAGGGCTAGTTGTTTCAGAATACCTCTCTCTGTACAAGCGGGCAAGCAGCTTAATTACCTCCATAATACCTTCCTCTGGGGAGAAGAGAAAAGTATTTCTAGCTGCCTTGTGCAGAGTTCTGAAGAAAAAGCAAGTATACGAAGCATTGGACTAAACTAGCAAATGAGCTTGGTCCTATTTGGACTGAGCTGGATGTGAATTGTGGCATGTGGCACCTAGATAATGAGAATTGAATAGAAATAGAGATGGAATTCTAACTGAATAAAAATAGAAATTCTACCTAGAGGTAGAAATTGGACAGAAAGGGCTTGTTTTAATTTGGGCTTAATAACTCTGCAGAATAATTTCATTAAAAGATACGTTTAACACATTATTTTGATTCACGTTTTATGCAAGATTGGTATTTTCATCGCCTGTAGTAGCTTTTTCCTCATGAGGCAAAGCACCAGAAAACCAAAGAAATTGGGATGTAGGGAA